CTCTCATCTTTTTAAGTGGGAGAACTTGCACAATTGGAGACTGACTAAATACTTATTTTCCCCACTGTAACTGACGAGACTCACGGCTTTATGAGAAACAGACAMGTTTCCAACAACATTACTCTGATTTATGCTCTGACCAAAGTTTTAACCTTTTTTTTAGACTATAAGGCTTTCGACACATGAACATAAATTCATTTTTCACGCCTTAAAATAATTTGTTTTTAGCTCATATGTTAGCAATGCTATCAAAACATGGAAACAAATGGAAACTGCTCAATCAGAGTAATCTGGCACTTCTTGATTCTCCCTCAAACATGGGGTCAGGTAACGATGYCCCATATCACCTTATCTCTTTACTCTGCACTCAGGTACTGAGTCTATAAAGCTTCATCCATTAAAAGGCATCAGTAGCAGGCGAAGACATTGGCTGATGATACAACACTGTTTTATTTTTCTCAGATACCTTTAGATTGACCTGAAAAACACATTTCCTGCWGCATCTGGACTTTACCTAAATGTAAAAAAATGTGAACTCCTTGCTCTTAAACATTGTGACATGCCTTCTATATGCAATATACCTATACAAGAGTCTGCTTATTCAGGAATCATCATTACAAAAACCAAAAACTCCAGAAGCAACCTGAATTTTTACTCTATTATAGACAAATCCCAAAAAATGTACCCAGTGGTTACAAAAAGACTTTTCTTTGAGAGGTCAAATATTACTTTCTAAAGCTGAGGGAATTTCCCATGTCACACAATGCAGCCCTGTCTCTTGATGTTAACAAAAAGGTCTCTAAAGATATTGATAAGATATTATTTAAATAGTATATTAAAAAAAAACCCAGTAATACTGAACTCTTATGGTAAAGAGAGCCTTAAATAATACATTCAAAGTAAACTGGTTAAAACAGTTAATCAAGAACGCCTTTTCATATTCGGTCTAAAATTGCTTCTATTCTGTAATTATATTGTTAAAGTTCTCCCTAAACTGTCTAACTTCCAGAAACAGATGCTTCTCTCTTTATTTATAAAATAATTTCTTATGTAACGAATCCTTATTTTACCCGTTGTGGTTTACTCGCAACTTGGTTCATCAATTATTTAATTTTGATGGCTCATTAATGATGTATCAAGAATTTATTTCAAAATTAACGAGTTTAATAGTGTTACAGCTGCAGTCCCTGCTGGTGTAATTGTGTTGTTTAAAAGTATAGCAGGACAGAATCCAGCCTTATTACCCTTTGATCCAACCAAACTTCAAATTGGTCAAACTTGTTTTTGTTCAACAGGTAATAACAACYGTCGTAAATGCTCATTATTTCAGAAAGCTGTCATGTATCTTATTGGAACACCTTTACTGATAACCTTGACTGGAAAATGATTCGGACTTTACCAACATGATAATAACGTAAGAGAAGTATCCTTTAAAGTTATTCAGATTTTACCCATCTTAAATGTTCTTACAACATTTTAAAAAGAAAATAAATGTAACTTGTTCTTTCTGTGAAGGCCTCTCTGAGTCTGATGGTCACGTCTTTTGGTCTTGCCCCTTCTCTACTCATTTACAGGAAGATTTTTTTATTCTACTTCTGTTGAGCCACATTTTCCCCTTTGCTTTGAACATAAATYATTTGGCTTCACTGGCCAACCATTGATGATATTCCATAAATACACTCACCGGCCACTTTATTAGGTACACCTGTCCAACTGGTCGTTAACACTTAATTTCTAATCAGCCAATCACATGGCGGCAACTCAGTGCATTTAGGCATGTAGACATGTTCAAGACAATCTCCTGCAGTTCAAACC